TGTAGGTGTTCAGAATGGTTTGATCCCTATCCAGCTGAATTCCTGAGAGGAGACGAAATCCAGGTCTCCTACTCCTCCGCCATCTTGCTCCGCCCCCTTGATTAGGTTTTAAATGATTTATTTCGTCAGCCAGTTCCCAACACTACCTTGGCAAATGTATATTCATTGAGTTATTGAATGCATTTTGTTCTCTGGATATTTTGCTAAAATTACTAGAGATGTGTAACTGGATATATATGGTAAAGACGCTAGAAATAGTAAACATATGGGAGTAATGAATACATTTGAATATTTGATAGAAGAGAATTTATTTCCATTAAAAAGTTTGAGAGTTTGCTTAAGAAGAGATTTCTATTAATGAACTTTAGAATGGTTTTAATCCGTTTTCTAGCCCTTGGGTAGAAGATGATGTTCAGAAGTTATGGCCATATAGCTTTCCTTTGGATAAATTTAATCTGCTTCAAGTTTTCTAAGTTGTTACTATTTCTCTAGGATCAAGGGGGTTTGGGCATTGCTATCAGTGAGGAAGATACGCTCAATGGAGTCGTCATAAAGAGTCTAACCGAGCATGGGGTGGCAGCCAAGGTGAGGCTTTCTCACTGTCATACAGTGGTGGGGAAGGGAATTACTTCTATAAAATCACCCCAAATCTTAACATGTTTCCATTTAGGATGGACGGCTCAAAGTTGGAGATCAGATTTTGGCTATAGATGATGAAGTCGTTGTTGGCTATCCTGTTGAAAAGGTACGTTTCCAAAGGAAGCAAATAACACTGTGAACCCATCCGTGGGCATGGCCAGCACATGTGTGTGCCTGTGTGTGTGTGTGTGTGGTCATAGGGAATTGGAACCATGTCACTATACTAGACATTATATTAGACAGATATCATTAAGGAAAAGAAGAGATTAGAAGTTCTTCAATTTCTATTTTCTATTTTCCAATCAAATGATATTGAGGTATTTTCTATTGCCTAGAAAATCCAGTGTTCAGTGGGCATTTTTGATAAATATCATTTCCATTTTCCCTTAGAAAAACTTGCAACTTCTAAACAAAGGTCAACTTAGTGTTAAGACCAAAGCAATCTTTATGAATATTTGCTCCAATAAATATCCATTTTGTCTGTTGTTTTATAAACAGACTCAGTCATTAAATGCATTACTTTCATTGGGATTAAACAGTTACTTGTGAGTTTTCTTGTCCTCAAAAGTGGTAATACTTACTAGTAGTCTCACTTGAGGCATTTCATAGATAAGTACAAGAAAAAAAGCTATGTTTCTCTTGAGATTTGGTGTGCAAATGTTTTTTATTTCTACATTGGCCAGCAAGAAGCTTAAACCATTTTTTTAAATTCAGCTTTAATAATTGTATAGGTTGAACCGTTTTAACCCATATGTCTATGTTCTAACTTTCCATTTGGCTTGACTCTTCTGTTGCATAGTTTTCTTTACCATTCTCTTAACATAAGTGTTTCCATTTTATTAAAAGTGTCTGTGTAAGCTGTTTCAGATTCTCGGTAGAATCAGGAAGTGGGAAAAGTACCCCATATATCTTCTAAGTTTGTAGGGATCCAGAGAAAAGGATGAGATTAATTAGAAATCTCAAAAATGGAAAACCCTATACTTCCATAAAGAAGAATATGGCCACAATTAGACTTACAATAGAAATTAACTTTGGCCTTAATATCAGGCAGCTGAGAAACTAGAAAGAAAGGACAATCATTCTTTCTTGACCCCTCAAGTTCTGATAAGGAAAGGGATACCAACTGTTAACAGTGACTTACTGGTAAAAATCTACTAATCTGCTTTTGAATTTTGTTTCCTTGCCACACCAACACCCTCCCAGTTTATTAGCCTTTTGAAAACAGCAAAGACAACAGTGAAACTTAGCATTCATGCTGAGAATCGCGACCCCCAGGCTGGGACGGCCAGTGGAGAACAGAAGAGCAGCTCCTTGTCTCTGACGGCCCCGTCTTCTGGCTCCCCAGAACCAGAGTCCATCCCAAGTAAGGGCCAGTCTCTTGTGATTCCTGCTTCTGTGGCGTACTCAACCCCCCCAGTGGCAGCTTCCTACGTGGGAGCCCCCTGCCTGCATGTAACTCACTGTTTGAAGGCCGTCAAGTATAAAGAGAGGGGCTCCTGAAGAAAGGTCACTGGGCTGTTAGGCAGGGGATCTGCGTGCTGCACATTAACCAGCCGTAGGGCCTCAGGGAACCCACCCACCCACTCTGAGCCTCTGCTTCGTTGTCTCTAAAGCAGTGGAGTGCTACTCTTTGCTCACCAAGGATCTTTTGCTGAAGGTACCTGTGATTCGGGTATTTGACTAATGATGTAACAACATGATTTTGAATATTCCTTTTTTATATTGAGCAAGTAATTTAACTTCCCTAAAGCCTCAGTATTCTAATCTGTAAAATGGATACAGTGATGCCGCTTGATCGGTGACATCAACAGTGCGTTGCATTACAAGAAGCTCTTTAAAAATAATAGTCATTGCTGTAGTAAGCATAAATGATCTGAGATCGTCATTTAGGTCTAACAGATCCTGTCAAAATAGATGAAATGGTTGTATGTGGACCATGGAATGAGACTGGTGTGTATCATTAAAATGCCAGTGTAGCAAATTGAGGCAAATTATTCCTTTAAGTTACTTCTTGACAAAAATTACACTAGTGTTTAATAAGACAGTAAATTTCAAGCTTTGCAGCATTGAAAAAAGTACTTAAACACATAGGTTTTTTCTGCTATGGGAGAAAAAATTCTCTTTTGGCCTCCAAACTGAAACATTAAGTTCTTTTGACAGGTTTTTAAGGAAACAGCAGTTTAAAACATATGTAATATAGTTAGACAAAAAAAGTCTGAAAGTAATACATATCTGATGAATGTAATCCTCTATTTAGAAAGACTGGGTAATTCACTGACATGTTAAAAGGTTTTACGGCAATTGTCTCCTTTTTCAATTTTATGTTGATCCCAAAATAGCATTGTCTATAAAAATGTAAAATTCTAAATGAAAATGTAACATAAAAGAAAATATCTTACACCTGCTCTTACCATTTCAGGAGCAAGAATTAGTCTGTCTCTGGTTTCCTAAAAAGAGAGCCTCTTGCCTAAAGCTACTCTACCAACTGTCTCAGCTTTTTCAAAACATGACGTGTGCTATATGCTCTTTGGTATATCATAAAACATATGATATGAAGACTATCGTAAAACAAGGTGTGAAATTATATTCTCCTTGTTTTCTCATAATCTATTCTTATCTCTTCAGTCCTGAGCACATATGCACCAGAATTTAATATCTGAGTTTATAAAACATCAAGTGAGACATGCAAAGAAAGAAACTGCATGTGAGTTTCACTTGATGTTTTATAAACTCAGATATTAAATCCAGTTGCATGTGTGCACAGATTTGATTATGTAAGAAGAAATGCTCTAGGATAAGAAGAAAAGGAAAACCAAAACCAAAACAAAAAAGCCTTGACATGCAGGTACCATGAGCAGAATTATTGATGTGCTGATGTGCTTTGTGTTTTGTAGTCTTCCCAGAATGTGTTTTTATATGACCACTATATACCTCAGTTCTGAGTTGTACAAATCATAATTTCATAAGAAGTTTTTTGGCTCTAGTGAAGTGTGGAATATCAGCATGAAACCAGAGGTTCAGTTCAACTCTCTGCTCTTATTCCTTTATACATATCATCCCTAGCAATTTAGAAAATACACCATAGTGCGAAACGTAACTTTGTACCCACCTCCCTAAACTAACGATGATTGAATCATTTTGTTTGATGTTTTTAAAATATAACTAAAAGATTAAGGTAAGTCTGAAGTCTTCCTTGTCTGTAACCTTGGGCGCTTTTTCTCCTCCATCCCCCACAGGCAAGGGGTGGGGGGGCTGTGAGTTTGTTGTATATACCACCTAATCAGTTTGTATTTGTATTTCATTTCATTTTAAATTTATTTTTAGGTACAAGCAGGTCATCAACACCAGCGATCTTTGCTTCTGATCCTGCAACCTGCCCCATTATCCCAGGCTGCGAAACAACAATTGAGATTTCCAAAGGGCGAACAGGGCTGGGCCTGAGTATTGTTGGAGGGTCGGACACTCTGCTGGTGAGGACACTCCCTGAGATGCTTCAGATCCAGTGAGCCCTGAGAGATCGCTATCTGGGAGAGTTCTATCTGTTTTATTAAATGAAACATTAAGGCCTAGAAAGATGCATCATTCGTTGTTATTTTAATTCGTAGAGCAAATACCAAAAATTGATTACCAGGACTTTTATTTTGCGTGAGTACTGACTCAATAAGATAGTTACACTTGTGATTGAGACCTTTAGGTTCAAAATATTTGTTAGTTTACCTGTCTTTGCTACACTTTAATTGCCTTTTTACTGCCTGGATATGGTTGGGTTGGGCCCATATTGAGAGGAGTCTGAATAACTGGATAATTATAGACAAAATTTTCTAAATGTCAAAAATCTTTTAAAATCTAATTATTGCATTTGTGGATAGGAAAAGTGATGTATATCTATCAGTTTCATTTGCAGATAGGAAAGGTGATGTATACCTATTATATGTACGTATGTATGATTTATATGTTTCATAATTTTTTCTTTAAACGTTCCTGTCATTAGAAAGATATATATAAACTTCTTTGAGCCTTGTAGCAAAAATTGCATTACACTTTTCTTTGCATTTTGATATGACTCCCTATGGATCCAGTGAGTATATAACCCTTCACATTATCTTTAAAAGTACAAGTGTGGTTTTTTTTTGTTTTTTGTTTTGTTTTTTTTTTTTAAGATTTTATTCATTTATTTGACAGAGTGAGAGAGGGAACACAAGCAGAGGGTGTGGGAGAGGGAGAAGCAGGCTTCCCGCAGAGCGGGGAGCCCGATGTGGGGCTCGATCCCAGGACCCTGGGACCATGACCTGAGCCGAAGGCAGACGCTTAACTGACTGAGCCACCCAGGCGCCCCTAAAAGTACAGTGTGTTTTGACTTCATTTCTGCTCACCAGTCCTATGGAGGATGGGCTAAAGCATGAGTATGTCTTGTCTGAGCCCTTAGGGTGCCATTATTATCCACGAAGTTTATGAAGAAGGAGCAGCTTGTAAAGATGGAAGACTCTGGGCTGGAGATCAGATTCTAGAGGTACAGAATACCTTTATAATTAACAAAGAAAAAGCTACTCTGGGGAGGGCGGTCTCTGTTTCTTTCTTTGTTTCTTTCACTTCCTCTTTGCTCTTCCTTTATTTGACTCACCTGGCTCCTCACAGTGTCCCATTTCTGCACAGGTGAATGGAATTGACTTGAGAAAGGCCACGCATGATGAAGCAATACATGTCCTGAGACAGACCCCACCAAGAGTGCGCCTGACGCTCTACAGAGATGAGGCCCCATACAAAGAGGAAGATGTGTATGACACCCTCACTGTTGAGCTGCAGAAGAAGCCAGGGAAAGGCCTGGGATTAAGTATTGTTGGGAAAAGGTACGACTGAAGAGGGCAAACCTCATGATCTTTTGGAAATGACTGAATTTCAGTTCTTACAAAGAATATTATCAGTAGTCGAATCTTTATCAGGTGCTAGTGTTCTGTGGGTAGCTGTTGTCAGCCCACTCAGCATCAAAAGACCTCACTTTTGAACTTTTTAAGTTAGGATTTTGGGGGATCTTGAGAATATTAGACAAAAAACTGTTTAGTATTTATTTTTTTTAAGGTTTTATTTATTTGAGAAAGAGAGAAAGCACACGAGCACGAGTAGGGTGAAAGGCAGAGGGAGAAGCAGACCTCCTGCTGAGCGGGGAGCCCAATACAGGACTTGATCCCGGGACTCCAGGATCATGCCCTGAGCCGAAGGCAGACACTTAACCAACTTATGGTTGGTGCCCCTGATTGATATTTCTTGAACACCTGCTGTGTGCTGGGGAATACATTATGTTCTGGGGAACAAAGTTAAATAAGACATGGTTCCTGACTGGGGTGCCTGGGTGGCTCAGTCATTAAGCATCTCCCTTCGGCTCAGGTCATGGTCCCAGGGGTCCTGGGATCAAGCCCCGCATCGGGCTCCTTGCTCTGCGGAAAGCCTGCTTCTCCTCGCACTCCCCCAGCCTGTGTTCCCTCTCTCACTGTCTCTCTCTCTGTCAAAAAATAAATAAAATCTTAAAAAAAAAAAAAGACATGGTTCCTGACCTCAAAAAACTCACAATTTAGTCAACGAGAATTAAATATGTTCTTGCAACAAAGGATTCCATTGATGAGAGACAGAGACATACTGTGGGGGAGCTGTGGCAGCAGAGGAAAAGGGGACAAGTGACTCTATTTGAGGAAGCAGATTAGAGAAACTTCTCAGAAAAGAGGTGCCTGCGCTGAGGCTGAAAGTGATCAGTGATAGTTGGTCTATTTATAGGGAGCAGAGGATACTCTAGGGAGAAGGATTGGCTGGAACATAAACATGCCATCAGAAGGGAACAGAAAGGAAGAGACCAGGGTGGTAAATTGGTGAATAGGTATAAATTTAGTACCTAATTTATTTAAGTATTTATAGATAAGTAATATTAACAAATACATGATCCAGTAAGTTCCAATATCTTTTTTTTTTTAAAGATTTTATTTATTTGTTTGAGAGACAGAATGAGCAGTGGGGAGGGGCAGAGGGAGAGAGAGAGAAGCAGACTCTGTGCTGAGCAGGGAGCCCGATGTGGGGCTCGATCCCAGGACCCTGAGATCATGACTTGAGCCGAAGGCAGACACTTAACCGACTGAGCCACCCAGATTCCCCAAGTTCCAACACCTTTATCTAAAGATGGGAAGGCAGAGGATCAGAAGGTGAAATGATGTGTTTGAGGGCCTGACCTTGGCAAGAAGAGACACAACCGCATTTTCACTACACATTTCTACTTACAGTTATCTTTGTCTCTTGGCAAGAAAATCCTGGGTTGTTTGTAGTTTCCTGAATGAAAGGAAGATTGGAATAAGAATTGTGTTTGTTCATTTTGCATGAATCCATCTTGCTTGCAAGTTAGATCCATAATAACTTAAAAGACATCACAGGAATGGTTCTTAAACAAATGGTTTCGGTTAGAGGTACACATTCATTGTTTATTTTCAGGAACGTTAATGCTGGTGATAATACCAACATAGTTATGTAGCCACTGGTCAGTATTCATTCAGGGCTTCGTTACGGTGTGCAGAGGACCATAGACTTAGCACCCAAGAACTGACTCTTACATCCCATTTTTGCTTTGGAGGAACTGTGTGACCCATAAAGTGAGACAACAGTAGTGATCACTTGAGCTCACAGTGCATCATTGTTGAAGAATAAATATGCTTATGAAGATCTGTTTAATCCATGAAATACTATGAGACATAAGCTATTATCACAGAAAATAATTCTAATAATATTGCCCCCATGTTGCTGAAAACAAACTTGTAAAGTCACAAGAGTGGAGGTCACGTTTTCAGTTAAAAATGTTAGCTCTTCAATAGGTAAGCATTGCATTACAGTGGAGAAAAAATAGTCATGTTGAAATTCCAAATCATGTCTACAGAAATGATACCGGAGTGTTTGTGTCCGACATCGTCAAAGGAGGGATTGCCGATGCTGACGGAAGACTGGTGCAGGGAGACCAGATACTGACGGTGAACGCAGAAGATGTCCGGCACGCCACCCAGGAAGCTGTGGCCGCTTTGCTGAAGGTAAAGGTCAAACGCCGGCAAGGACTCTGTGCAGTAGGATGGAAGAAGGAGGAGATGCTAACTGGGCCACCGCGGTCTAATAAGCACTGAATCCTCCTTATTTAAAAGGTTATCTCACATAAGACACATTTCTAAGTAAGATGCCAAATTTTAGTGATAAATTTCTAACTAATAATAGCTTTATTATATTATGTATTTTCTATTATTAAATGTCAAGTGAAAGACTTTTCAGTTTTCAAGGTAGACATCCCTTAAGGCCCCACAGCTGGTAAATCACACAGTAGGATTTAAACCTGTATGTCTAACTCCAGAAACCCAGGATCTCAAAATACCTCATTGTGCTTTCTCCTTAGACAATATAGTATTTTTTGCATGCCTAGGATTTATTTGTTAGAGATCACAGGGAAGTTGTCTTCAATTCTTATTTTGTGTTTATAGCATTACGGCTTCTTTCAGCATTGTGTAATAGGTCTGTTCAGGTGCCGGGTGGCAATAGAGTTTGCCCAGTTATCTGTTAAGGACAAAACAAGTTGTTGTGGTCATTGTTGTATTGTTTCAGTTTTGTTTTTTAAGCCCTGAGTTAGTTAGTACATTTGGCATATCTATGTTTCATGAGACAGTTGCTCGAATCTCAGTTTCTCTTTAGCTCGGCACCAACAGTCTCCCTGTAAATCATGAGGCCATGAGACAGACGCTGGCTGTTGCCCCTGCTGCTGCTTGTTGTTACTCTTGTTTATGTTTTAGAAAAGCCTCCTTTCACAAAGGACTGGAGGTATCCTTGACTATGGAAATCCCAAAAGGAGGAGGCCTTTCAAAAACCTAATCCTAAAGAGTGTATCTACTCCCGAAGATGATTATAGCATCTTGTTTGACCATTTTCCTAAAACAACCACTCCCCTAGTGTTCCCTAGGCACAGTGACCTTAGAAGTTGGAAGAATCAAAGCTGGTCCATTCCATTCAGAGAGGAGGCCTTCTCAAAGCAGCCAGGTGGGTAGCTGTGGGGTTCATCAGGGTGGTGCAGTCCACGCGCTGGAGCAGCTCTGAGATGGCCCTGACAGTGGTCTGCACGCAGGCCGGGCCTCCGGCAGCTCGGCACAGTGGGCTGCAGACTCTTAGGCGGGGAAGAGCATCGGGTGAGCGGGGACAGGTGAACGAAATGGAGCTCTTGAGTGGTTTGCAAGTCATTCTCAGGAACTTCATTTCAGCCATTCTTTTCTTTTTCCATAATTGTACAAGTTAACCAATTAATATCTGTAACGCCTACCAACGTGATATATTTTTAAAGTATTTTATAACAAGCATTCAGCTGAAAAAATCCCACGTAAGGTGAACTGTAGAAGCTCACCACCCTGTCTGAAGCTCACTGCGTGTCGGTTCAAGATCGCTGGCACAAACTCTCCTCACTTTTGTCTTCATCAGCCTGTCCTTAGAGAACCTTTACTCACCCCTTCAAGACTACCATTCATTTCCTGTTGCCGGGCCCTAATTTTACAGTTTTTTCATAAGCCCCAGTCTATGTACAACATCAGTTTAAATTTAGCTTGAATGAAACTATGAAAATCCACTAAAATTTAAGTTGGTTGGAATCAATCTCATCCATTCTTTTAGCTTCAATTTATTTATGTCACTAGGCAAATTATTCCATAAAAAGAAAAAAATCGTTAGATTTCAAATTATCAAATGCCACTGTTGCTTCACAGGTATTTCTCTCTAGATGCATTGAAAGAATTGAATTCTGAAGTAAGTGGTATTTAGGGGATATTATTACTTCAAAACTTTCTTAAAATAATTGTTGTGTGTTTGTAGATGAGTGAAGGCAGCCTGTCATCATTCACTTTTCCACTTTCTGGATCCAGTACCTCTGAGTCACTGGAAAGTAGCTTGAAGAAGAATGCACGTAAGATTGGTTTGATATTTTAAGCATGACTTACTGGTTTGAATTTTGGTAACCAACACTGATTTTTTCCCCTGTATCAATTTACTTCTGAGCTCTCATTCCTCAAATCATTTCATATCCTAATATGGGTGCGGAGGTGTGTGTTGGCAAAAATTCTGAGCAATATGAAGCTGCGTCTTTGTTGTTTAGTTTTTCCATTTGTTGTTTTTTCTATAAGATATACTAAATGTTAGAATCAGGATTCTGTAATTTTTTCTTACTAAGCAGACGGGTATGCTTGATTTTTATTTCCTTTTTCTGTTTAATCTAACACCAGTAATTCAGAAAATGCCATTAAGTGAAGCCTTCTTTTTCCATGAAGACTGCAAAAATTTTGATTGAGAAAATTAGTATGATCCTCCTGTGTTTTAATTACATGAAATCATGATGCAGAGGGTTTTTTGGCTTGGAGTATTGGTTGAAAGTTGTTCAAATTGAAGAACTAACCATATGGCAATCTCTGTTTGCAATGTGACTAATATTCTAGAAATTTAGCCACTTAAGTCCATGAATTCCTTTTAATGTGTCCATGACTTTATTTTTCTCAGCTGTGCACTTTCTATCCAAAGCCTATTCTGCCCTTGACTCATTGAAAGTGGATTATGCAGTTATATAATCAATGATTAAAATAAGAAGGAAGAAATGGGCTAGTGTGCACATTTTTCCAACTGGAAAAATAAAGATTCCCTATGTGAGACAGATTTAATCATGTATACTGGCAACTTTGAGCACCCTCTTTAAAAAAGAAACAATTAGCGTATCTCATTTAGTCCTATTCCAGCTTCAGGCGTTGACTAAAATTTAATTGAACATAAAAATACTTTAATAACCGTTTTTTTTTTTTCACTTTACAGTGGCATCTGAAATACAGGGATTAAGAACAGTTGAAATAAAAAAGGTAACTTGGGGAAGAGAAAACAATATAAACTCTGTTGACCTCAGAGGCATCTCCATGTATATTTTCCTATTAGCTGTCTCACTGTTTTACCATACCATCATAAAAATTATGTGTTGTATACAGTGGAAATACCACAGTAGTCTTCACTGAATTTCCTGGTCACAGGGCCTTGTATGAAAAATCATTGTCGGTGTATCCTGTGTTGCCAAAAATGGCATCCACCCAACCCCACACAAAGTGTCACCCCACCTCTCACCTCTCATACTGCAAAGCAAGCCTCTGCCTTCCACAGATACTTCTTACTCTCGTGAAACAGATTCCCCTGACAGCCGTGCACAAGAGAGAACATAAAAGCAGCTACAGTTTATTGAGCCTTTGCTCTCTGCTGAGCATTCTTGGAGATGCACCGTCTCCTGCACTGTCTTCTGCAAGCCCCCTGCTAGGGCTCCTCTGATCTCCGTTTTGTCACTGCAGGTCTAGTGACTCATTAAGAGGGCTGAACTTGGTCAGGTCCCAACATTTGTAACTGTGGGTTGCTGGCTTTGAATACAGATCTCTCTGATTCCAAAATTGGGGTCTTTCTCTTCATCAGTGGACCCGCTTTTCATCACCGCCACAGCATGATTTTCATTTAATGTGTTTTGATTTCTTTTATTTCCTGGACAGATGCTTATTTTCCTAAGTCACACTAAGGATCCGTGTCAAATGAAGTAATACAGTTTTCTTGAACTTCATTTTCCTCACACCTCGAAGACCTGAGTTAACTGTAGGGCATCGGGCCAAAGACACCAAACATCAATTTAAAATACCACATTGACCGAAATATTTTAATTTCTTGCATGGCAGGGGCCTACTGACTCACTGGGAATCAGCATTGCTGGAGGAGTGGGCAGCCCACTTGGGGATGTTCCCATATTTATTGCAATGATGCACCCAAATGGAGTTGCAGCTCAGACCCAGAAACTCAGAGTAAGTTCTACTAATAACGGAGGCAGCCCTCACAAATCTGGCAGAAGTTTTTTAAACCCTTTGGATGTGCCACTTGCTGCAGCCAGTTTTCAGTGTCTATATCTGCTTTTAAATACGCTAATCCGACCACAGCAGGGTTTGCTTTGAGTAAAGGTGAAGAAAAGGAAGAGAGGAGAATTTGCTGTGGGAATGCAGATTGACAAGTAAATGAGACGGGAAGATCTCCTGTTGCTTCTTAGTAGTTTTTACTTGTTTACAACTCTGAAAGAAGGTAAAACAAAGTGTTTCAGAACACCAGTATGAGATGAAATTTTCTCCTTATATGTGTCACTGGTTTAAATGCCAGTTTAACATCATTAAATTGAAAACTATCATTTATGTTGCAATTGATCATCCATTTTGCAGAAGTTTAATATGAATGTGACTTACATTGTGAAACTATACAAAACGTGCTTCAAAGTTGAGGGATTATGCTAAGGTAGAGCCCTATTTATGCTGACTGTCCAGGTCTGGAATCATGTGAATGTTCCATTCAAGCCTCAATGACGTAAAATCTGCGTGGCCTCATGGGTCACAAAGCATCTCAAAACATAACCACCTCTTAGTTTAGTCCCTAAACTAGAAATGGTTCAATCTCTTTTGATATCTGAACTTGTGACTGACTGACACTTAAAAATTGATTGTTGCACGTAGCAGAAAACTTTTCTGTGCGGGACCTATCATGAATACTTGGGTCTTTGTGGGACAAGCGGGTCTCTGTGGCAGCGACTCAGCTCTGCCCTGTGAAAGCAATGAATAAGCAGGGCTGTCTTCCATCCAAACTTTGTCAACAAAAACAAGCAGTGAGCCAGAGGTGGCCTCAAGTCACAGCTGACTTAGAGTCCCAGCTAACGTGTGTAATAATAACGTCCAAAGAAATTCTGGTCTTTAAATGCTATCAGGTATTTTATTCTTTAATAAGAAGCAATGTCTTACCCAGGAGAAATGAAGAGAAGGGAAGAGTGATTTTCCCCCCAGAGACTGCCGAACTCCATCGTCATGGACAGCTTCTTTTCGTTGTGGCCACTTCTTGAAATGATTGGCTTCCTTGGTTATATTTCAGTTGCTGAGGGCAGTGTGTATGTGATGTGCCGGGTAGAGAAGGAAGTGACTGTTCAGGTGTCAGGGTCCCACTCTCCATGGCTGCTCTAGCAGATGGCTGGTTTCTTGCCTCCCTTGCAGGTTGGGGACCGGATTGTCACTATCTGTGGCACTTCCACTGAGGGGATGACTCACACCCAAGCAGTTAACTTACTGAAAAATGCCTCGGGCTCCATTGAAATGCAGGTAAGAGTTGTATCCCAGGCAGTCTTCATGGTATGGGTGGCTTGAGGACACAGGAGTTTTAAGCATTAAAGCAGTAAAAGTCCTTAAATCTCCTGGTAGCATTTTATTCAGTATTTCCTGTGAACATAAATGATTTCACTGAGAGTTCCAAGAAAGTATGTATGAAACATTTTATCCTGATGCATTCTTTGTTTCATACTTTATATCTAAAGGGAAAAAAATACAAGGTCTTAGCAGTAAATGATTAATTGCTAGGATGTTAAGTGGTATGAGTGGCTGTGTATTCTGAAGTTCTTTAAAAAATAATTGCATGTGAGACCATGTTTGAAAAAGATCAAAGAACTTTGCAGAATTGAATTACTAAAAGATTTTTCCTGTCAGTTGAAGAGGCCTCTGGACCTTGTGAATTTCTCTTTGGTTGTATATCAGGTTCACAGAAATGATTAAGTGGACAATAAAGTACATGTTTTAATCCAAATGCTGTTTTCGAGGGAAAATTACTGATGTCTCCCTGGCCACACGAACACATGTTTTTCTCTTTCTGTTTCTCCCGCACACAGGTGGTTGCTGGAGGAGATGTGAGTGTGGTCACAGGTCATCAGCAGGAGCCAGCCACTTCTAGTCTTTCTTTCACTGGGCTGACATCAAGCAGTATATTTCAGGATGATTTAGGGTGAGTGCACATATTGTGGTTTCTATGTCCCTACCACTCACGTAAAGGTGAAGAAACAGGAGACGAGGTATGAGATACGAAAACCAAGTGTTTCTAAACTGTTAAATAATTGTGGCATGGATTTAGTTTATCAGGTGGAGGCAGATAGCATGCCACTACCCTTCCCACGGTTTTGGCTCTGAGTTTTTTGGGGGACGTTTTAGTCTTGACGTCACTACCCTATGTGACATGGAACAGATCAAACCTATCCTTTTGAAATTCCAACATTGCCAACTCATTTAATAAATCATCCTTTTGATTAAAAAATTCACAGTTCCCCAACACGTGAGTACAAAAGAGATCATAAAGAGGGGAAGAGAGGGACATATGAGAATTTTTAAATAATTTGATGCAGTCTTTACATTGCTAGTAGTGGATTTTTCTCTCTGAGCTTGGGAGTCCTGATGTTTGTGATTTACTCCACGGTAGACCTCTGTGCTGTAGCCTTCTTCCTTTAAATAACCTGGGAAAAGAATGTGCGTGCATGCAATGAGAACTTGTCGTGAACATGTTAGTTCAGGGGAACTGTAAATGAGTAATAGAAGTAGGGTGTTAAGTAGGATTTTTTTGGATTATGTAAATTTAAAATACTGAGCACAGCATGCACGGACAGTTCAAGCATCCCCAAAATACCCATAATATACTCACTGTCAGTAGCACTGAGATTTATACTGGTTCTAGGTGAATGTCAGATAATCCGTAACTTACAGATACGATTTTAAAAATCGAAAACCTCTTTTTTTTTTTTTCTTTTTTCCCTTTACTATAGACCTCCTCAGTGTAAATCTATTACACTAGACCGAGGACCAGATGGCTTAGGCTTCAGTATAGTAGGAGGATATGGCAGCCCTCATGGAGACTTACCCATTTATGTTAAAACGGTGTTTGCGAAGGTAAGCTTGCACATTTTAACCACCCCCCTTGCCCCCTAAACATTCATTAATAGTGGTCAGCAGCTGGCTTATTAGTTTATGGCCTGAGGTAACGCCAAATGGTTAACAGTTGATCATTTTCTTTTGGAACTCCCTTCAGTAACAGGTCATTAAATATTTTTGTCCAGTTTGAGCTTTAGTTATATTTAAAGGAAAATAGGCTCAAATTGAAATTCCATGGGAACTCTTGACAATATGCAATAAAAATATTAATGAACTTTAGTTCGACAGTAAGACCTGATTTTTTTGTCCTTTGAAAACAGGTTGCCTATGATTGATTGTCTTTTGAAAATGGGACATTTTAAATATCTATGCTGTAGAGTGCTGGCATTTCTTTTCCTTTGTGTTTTTTTTTTTTTTTGGTTGTGAAATATAAAATAGACATGGGAAAGTACAGAAAATAGTTACACAGGTTAAATAACTAATAGGGCATTTATTTTGCAGTTTAATGTTATTGAATAAAATAGAAAATTTACAACCGAAAAAATTGCAGAGTATCCAGAAGCTCTGTCACCTGCAGTAAATCAGCTATTTGCAATCAGGGAATTCAGTTTTTTAAAAAATTGCATTTAGTTGTAATGATACAGTAAGTATTCTATTTTAAGGATGTTTAGAATAAGAATAAATTTATCGCAACGTTGGTGAAGCCGTTAAAATAATTCAAACCCTTATAATTATTGTTAATATGTTCTTAAGACATTTTTTCAGGAGCTCCAAAATTGGACATAATTTCCTGCAGGAGAAAATCTGGAATCTCAAGATTTTACAGTGCAAAGAAGCAAACAAACCTTATGGCTGACCTATTAAACAGTTTGATCCAGGGTTTTAGATTAGTGCTGTCGTCCTTTAAAGTGCCTACCTGTGGAGGTTTCATTCCATTATTTTGAAAAAGAATTATTATTTTTAACCAACTTAAAGTGCTGTATCTACAGCAACCTAGTTATAGGCTTAATTTATGAGATTTTTTAAAAGCCATTGGTGTGTCCAAAAATACAAACAGCATTTGTCAGTGAATAGAAGAGTCATGCAGTCCTTTTCCTCAGCCTTGGAACAATTTATTTAAGGCATGCTAGTTAGAACATATTTTAAGAATTTCATCATTATGGATTCCTCATTAACTTTTCCATATTTTTAATCTTCTATTTAATTGCATAATTGCCTACTCTAAGCATGCCTTAAGATGGGATGCTTTTTCACACAGCAATGTCTGTGTTTAATCTGAACCATTTAAGGCCCATAAGAAATATGAAGACTCCACACGCCCTGGGGAAGTAAAGAACAAGCAGCTCGAGCAGCCTATTCAAAGCCACAGAAAGAATTACAGTTAGACTTTGTAGGACTCGCGTCCTGCCCTGCCCTTGTCAACGTGTGTGTGGGCTTCATGCTTCTGCAGACCTTCGGGTTCCATGGCCTCATGCCCTTGTCCTGTAAAACTGCTTTTGTTCCTGTCTAGTCCTTTGTCGTCTTCTGTAAGCCTTCTTTACAGGATAAAAAACCCTGGATTCTATGAAATCATTCCTGCTAGGCAAATTCCCAAATATTCTTTATTAATTTGAGTTCCCACCAACTGCTGTGCTGAACAGCCAAAAACCATCCAACTAATCTATTGACTGCTGAATTCTCTCTGAAACTGGAATCTCGGTGTTAAAACCATTTAGGAGCGAGACCTCCTTTGTGTCTGTTCATCATTGCTTAATGGCTGTGGAGCACCCAGGGAGCACCGAGAGCAGTGTGTGTATACATGCAGAGCAGTTTACATTCTTGTTTAGATCTTTTTCTGTTGTGTAGCAGCGAGGCAGCATTTTTTGAGAAGCAAACAAGCCTGCTTTATAATTGCAGGGAGCAGCCTCGGAAGACGGGCGTCTCAAAAGGGGTGATCAGATCATTGCTGTCAATGGGCAGAGTCTGGAAGGGGTTACCCACGAAGAAGCTGTGGCCATCCTCAAGCGGACGAAGGGAACTGTCACTTTGATGGTTCTCTCCTGAATTTACTGCAGAGTGGGGCCAACTCAGCCCCCTGCTCCCATCCCACACTGTGAAGGGAATGGAACTGCTCTTGGGGATAACTTTCCCCCGCGCCGTCTTCATCAGGCTCTTCAGAACTCTGGGGGGAAAGTATCATTTAAGTTTTTTTTCTCATGTGGAAATGATTTTCTGGCAACCTAGCATCACTTTTCCTTTCTCCTTGGATTTTGTGAACATAAACTCAAAGGGAAGGACTGTGTGCATAGGTAAACCCAGTCTTCTAAAGATGTCTGACATTTGGCAGTCACATGTGCAGAAATTATGATGTGCTGAACTGGTTAGTAGAGAAAGAAAAAAAAATAATTCCAAAGCGAAAACTAAGAGAAATGGCTTTAGTAAATTAGGGTGAGAATGAAAATATAAAAGAAAAAGGAAAATCTCAAGTTTTATATAAAAAAATGCTTCATTTTTGTCAGTCCAACTCCTCCCCATTTCTAACTAGAAAAGAAAATAAAACATTTTTCTCTATTGAAAATCCTTAAAAATACTCTCAATATTTAAAATATTTGAATATTATAAAAAATTGCATATCCCCTCCTTTAATATACCCCTACATATTTTCCTCCTAAAATGGGTTTCTAAGATTGAGTAAATAGCAATTATATGAAGCAGTGTCCCTAAGTTGGTAAAGAACACAGCTGATGCAAATCTTGATGTTCATTTTTATTTTTGACCTGTTATGAAATATTTTCATGTTTCCGTAAGTAAGATGGTGATGTCACCCACTGTTGACTGTGGTTTCTCTAGAAAGCAGCCGTGCTAGCCACGGAGGAACATGGAAGTCTCTCAGAATCTTTAATGCTGGTTTTAACCGATGCAACACTAAAAATGCGTGCTGGGCAATTGGTTTTCAATTACTATTAATCTTAATGACAGAGAAAAAAGCAATGTGTTAGTAATTATTTTGGTTGTGTGCCATTAGTAAATTGATAGAAAAATTAAGGGGATTAACATAACTTCATTTCATTGCCTTATATTAACATCTTATAATACAATAGTTTAAGACTAAGGGAAACAGATGGAGCTGTTTATTGAGACAACTGGTGAGGAATTATCATGTGTTCATTCCCATTTTAGAGCGTGAAACTCCTACATTAGAATATATAAAGTCACTTTAAATATTATCTATATTTGTAACAGAAGTAGTGTACAGATATTTTATTACAGCACTTTTGTGTAAATGGAGTACCGAAGTGAATAAATAACAAGTTTCATGGTGCACAAATAAAGAAACAGGCGTATTTTTTTGTTCTTTTTACTGGGAAAAAGCTTCACTATATTGTTCAAGATTTACAATTTAAAACTGGTTTTTATCATGTCTAACTGAACATATGTGTTCCATAGTTACCATCAGAACTTTGGACACCATCGTTATGAAAAGCTCGGTGTTTCTTACATCCAGAAGTTTTACTAATACCGAAGTGTCCGGTCTGTATCTGTTTTTCTGACGTGCTATGTTAATGCAGTAATATTCTAAATTGTTCTTGGGGGTAGTCAAGAGCTAAAGTGATTTCAGAAAGAAAAAGTCATAATGAAGTTATTTATGTTAATAGAGGCAAAAAGTCTGATTTGAACACTGAGCGAGGAATTGGGGAACATATGTTCTGCTAGTTCTTGCCCCGCACTAGCTAATGCATGTGTGCATTCCGTCTGATTCACTCATCTGTAAAATGATAGGTCATCTTACCTCAAAGCTTGCATCCAGTTCTAAAATAGAAGCATTCTGTGATTCTTATACAGAATGGACAGGACCACACATTGCAACAGTTCAGGAGGTGTTCTCCCCGGCACTCCATGGTAGACTCGAGAGGAGCAACTTAACCAACCAAATTAAAGTTTGAGTAAATATGTGGGAGTACCCCAAGGAGAACAGTCCCAGGTAAGTGTCTGTACTTGCCTGAGTAGCATCTCCCCAAAACTCACAGCCACGAGGAACCATAGAATGTGATCTCATTTGGAAATAGGGGCTTTGCAGATACAGTTAGTTAAGATGAGATCGTGCTGGGCCCTAAATCCTTAAGGCCTTATCAAGACACAGAGACATAGGGAAGGAAGACCATGTAAAGATGGAGCAAAAAAAACCCCACAGGACCACCTTGGGAGCTACCAGAAGCTGGAAGAAGCAAGGAAGGAATTTTTCTGGGGTTTTCAGAGGGAGGTTGTCCCTATTGACACCTTGATTTCAGACTTCTGGCCTCCAAATCTGTGAAAGAATAAATATCTGCGGTTATCATCCACTCAGTTTGTGGTACTTTTTTATGGAGGCCTGGGAACACTAGTAACTGTGTCTTAAATGTTTTTATATTCATAGCTACCATCATTGGACCTGGCTAACAGGAGAAGAGCCGTACATGTGTGTTGAGCATGCAAATGATTAAATTATAGGTCATGATTCATTTCATGGTATTATTGTTTTAATTAGCTAGCTGCAGCCTTTATGCTAATGCAGAAACAAAACAAAACAGTGGGCATGCCACTGTAAGGATATAGAAACACTGAGGGAAACCTAACCTCCTGAATTGCTACTCATTAACAAAGTCAGCACAGGAAAGAGGAGGGAGGGAGGGAGGAAGGAGGAAGGAAGGGAAAGATTGAGAGGAATATATAGATGCATTAGCATTGGGGAAACGTGACAAAGGCTTATGCTTCCTGTATTATTATTTTGTGTAAATATAAGAGTTCTCTGCGGAAGAAAGTGTTTGAGCAAAGAGTTTGAGGACTTGAACCTTAACTCAAGACAGTGAATTACTCATAATAGGTGGCATATAATTGCTCATGTGATTAAATCACACTGGTGAATACTACACACTTCTGGTGTTCTTTGTGATCCCTCCCAAAGGACGATGATGATCTATAACACTAAGGATAACAATAATAAGAAGGCACCACCTGGTCTGTAGCTGCGGGAGTCGTCGAGATGTGGTGTCCAAGTCCATAGGCTCCATACATCAGAACAGGGATGGAGTGGGGAGCATGAAAACATGAAAATCATGAAAGACGAGACAAGATTTGGGACAGGTTTTTGTTTGTTTTTGGGCATAGTGGTAAAGCAGAGCGTGATAGGTTTGGTGAAGCAAAGGAACCTCTTCCTTGCTCTGAGGTGACCGGCCCTACGTTGCATTAGGTCTGGTCAGCTGGCTTCTTGTCTGAGGACGGTGTGCACTGATTGACGGGCTTTCTTGGTGAGTAGAGAAGTTGAAAGGATGCCTGCAGGGAGACAGGACTAAAGAGCTTTTTGGGGGGGGCGGGTCTAGGTGTGGGAATATCAAAACTATCATCACCTGCTTCCAGCAGCCCTGGTGTGTTGTTTCATGCCAGTGACAAGTATTCTGGAATGCACGTGATTTATGCAAAGATGTTCCTCAATTTTGTCTACTAGGAATTAATGCTTAACTTTGCCCTTTTCAAAAGAGAGTTATTTGTAAGGCAGGATTAGCCTCTGTCACCTCAAATGGAAAAAAAAAAAAATTGTAGGTGACAAAATTTCTAAATGAAAGAGCATGAAAACTAGACAGAGCAAATGTTTTAAAGGTAACTTTTGTATACTTGATATTGCGACTGCTTTTTCCCTTCAGAATATAGGGAGGTAGTCCATATTCATTTTGATGTAAATTAGAAAAAACTGTATTATCTGAGATTTTTACTTATTGGAGAAGTACTGAAAGTTCAATAGCGGGCCCTTAGCATTCTGTCAAAAAGGAGGCAAATCTGTGGCAATGATCTCAAAATTCTCTCATTAAAAATGTTTCTTGAGGATTCTGAAAGTACTACCATCAAAAGACTGCTTTGGGCGGCTTCTAGGAGGAGCTTCAACTTGTTCATTTAACACTGGACATTTTTTCAGAGGGTTGTGTCCTTTGGGAATACTTTTTGGTGATCCTTTCTCCTTCCCTCCCCTCCTTCCTCCTCTTTGCATGCATACATATTTTCAGAAACAGCACACTTGTCCTTGGAAAACGTACTTTCTCTCTCATTTCTTTTCTTACTGATGTATTAAAAACTACGATTTTTTTTTTCTGAGTCTACCTTGAATGATTTCATGTCCAAAGTTCCACTCCCCTGAACTTCATTAACCCAAAGGCACTTTATTCCATTCGATGAGACATACAGATTTACCTTGCTTTGGAAAATCCAATGAAGTAACTCTATATAAATCATTGATACTGTGCATGGGATAATCTATCAAGAAATGGTAATAGTTGTGCATGTATTTTATATCCCGGTAGACAGAGGGTAATATAAATTCAGTAATTTAATAGCTTTCACTTTTCATTTTTGTGTAATATTGTCCTTTTCCTCTAAAGTGGGGGCAAATCAATTTATACCAAAATTTCAGTTGTCATACAATCCATGTTTTCCATATCCTTGTGTAACTCGTTTAATATTTAGTAATTAACAGTATTTTTAACTTAAATGTGCTTACAAGAGGAATTGTATCTCAGTACTTTAAATGGAAAACTAATATCATTTGCCATAAGTATAAAGTAACTACAAGCAAAACTTACTTTATTAAATTCCATCAGGATACTCTTGCCTACGAAGGGTCAGAAGGCCTGCTCACTTTGCTAGAAAGGGAGAAATAAATGTTAAAATGGTGGTAATGACTCAGCAGGTAACTTTTTTCTTAAAGGAACTGAAAGAAAATACCTTTTCATTATGTGATTCAGTATTTTCTAATGCCTTGTCATTGCCACCTACAACAGTGATCTCAGCAGACACTCCCTCTTTGGGAAAGCTCTGTGATACCAAAGTCAGGAAGGTTTTGTTTATAGGCTCCTTTTTTAAAATGTGAAAGCAAGCTGGTCAATTCCTGTTCTTAAGAATATTCTTGCTAATGAGGTTAAAATTTTGTTTACAAGGCTTTCTCTAAAACCAGAATTGGGTCATCACCTCCAATGCTTTTGTTTTGGCAATCTTGAGTTTGAAATAAGGAACAAATGACATAAATTAATGGAGTAAAATTAATGTTGTGGTGATATTAAATAAAGCTAATGCCTCTTGCACCTGGAGGGCTATGCAGATGGCAGGCATACCTAATTATGCACCCTGCTGCCTTTAAGTGTATTGATAAAAATCTCTCAGCTGAGTTTAAAATATGTTCATTCACTGGCTCCAGACAAGTTTGAGTGAGGCAATACAATACATAAAAAATACAGCCTGACATACTTATTTTTTAAGGAAAAAAGGCAATTCTCTAAGTTAAATGAAATAATTAAATATTTACCTGATTTTAAAAATAAGTCATTACTACAGTCATGGTCTCTTGTCCTTTCTGTGAGTATTAAAATATATGTCCGCTCCATAAGAAAAAGATTGCTCTCAAACCAGTAAGGGAATACTTAAATTTAAGTTTACATTTTACTGGCTGCACATTAGTTAAAAAGATAAATTTACTAAGTGAATCCTAAAAAAGTTTACTTGATTTCTCACTGTAGGTACAAACTGGATTGGCCAAATATCACTCAGATATCTAGAAACTTGTTCAATATTTTAAAAAGTAGCTACTCTGGGAAATATGTCAGTATAATGAAGTATTGAGACAATTTGTTTTGCTACAGGTATTTCAAAGATGTCCCTGAACTTTGTAGAACTTACTGTGAGTACTCTTCCTTTAGGGAATGCGAATTCACATGAACTTCAGTTTGTGGCCATTGGCTACCTATGCAGTTAAATGGACAACCAGCATCTTCTAGTTTTAGCTTCAGAATGATTTTTTAAGTGCCTTCATGAGATTTGTTATACACACCTATTATTTCTCTTATAATCAGATATATTTGTTACCCACATTTTAAAAATAAGACAAACTTTTCTTTTGCAGACATAGTTTCCACCAAAATAGAAGATGTGGTGCCAGGCGTTCATTGTATGATAAAGGATGCTGGCCCACTTTTGAGAAAAAGTGTGGGGGGTGGGGAGAAAAGAAGTGGTTTTTTTAGTCAAAGGAGCATATAATTTCATCTTTTCATCTCAAAGTTAATAAATAAAGGAACTGTACATTTAAAATTTATATTTGTAATTTTATTGCCATTTGGATAACAAGCTGGGACTATTTACATCCTATCTACCTTAATTTCTAAGTCCCTCGCTCTTATTCCTTCTATTTGGTAGTTGATTTTTTTCTGAAGTTTTTTCTCTCTGTACGTTATGGGTATTTATGCAATGAGGTCCTTAATGTCTCAGCACCCACTTTGCCTTGCATGAATGTAAGTCATAGCTGATAAATATCTTA